GTTTCTTATGTTGTGGCCATTGTCTCTTGAGTTTTAAGAGTCTGTAAGTCCAAATCCCAGGTAATGTTAGGGAAGGTTTCCTATCTCAGATAGTTCTGAGGAAAAGTCCTGTCCTTTTAATTTATGCTCCTGGTTTGATTTCTTGTGGCTTGGGGCCTCTTCTTTTCCATTTGTAGGACACAAGGAGAAATATGGCATCAAGATTGGAGGAAGATTCATCAATAATCTGTGTTATGCAGATCACACAACCTTGCTTGCCAAAACTGAGGAGGACCTGAAGCACTTGCTGCAGAAGGTCAAGGACTATGGCCTTCAATATGGATTGAAGCTCAATATCAAGTAAACAAAGTTTCTAACCACTGGGCTGATTGGCAGCATCATGATAGATGGTGAAGAGATTGAGATTGTTAACAGCTTTAGTTTGCTTGCCTCCAAAATCAACACTCTTGTTACTAGCAGTCAGGAAATGAAAAGATGTATTGCATTGGGAAAGTCTGCAGTCAGAGACCTCTCCAAAGTACTGAAAAGCCACGATATCAGTCTGGAGACTAAGGTGCACCTCATATAGGCCATGGTCTTTGCAATCATTTGCTGTGCATCAGAGAGCTGGACAATGACTAGGGATAATAGAAGGAGAATTGATGTCTTTGAGCTGTGGGATTGGAGATGAGTGTTTAATATACCATGGACTGCTAAGAGAACAAAGAGGTTCATCCTGGAGATGGTGAAACCAGGCTGTTCCTTGGAGGCAAGGATTCTGAAGCTTCGTCTGACATACTTTGGGTATGTTGCAAGGAGGGACCAGTCCTTGGAGAGGGACGTCATGCTTGTGAGGGCAGGAGAGGAAAATCCTCGATGAAATGGATTGATTTAGTGATTGGGGTAGTAGGTAGGTGTGTGGGAGACAGTGAGATAGATATAGGATAGAGCAGGGTATAGGGCCATTGTACATAGGGTCATTATGAGTCGCAGGTGACTTGACGGCACATAATAATAACAACAACCATTGAGTCAGAACCAAACCATAGCTGACCCTCTGGCAGGTTTTCAGAGGCAATAAATGAGAAGAGATTGTCCACTTTCTCCCACAGAGTAGCTAGTGGATTTGAACCCTGTGCTTTGTGTTTGCAGAGCAATTCCTTACCGCTGATCTTGCAAAGTGACAATTGTTTACCATCCAGTTTCCAAAACTGAACATCTAAGAACACTATGGGAAATCATGGGAAGTAGCTGTCCTTGTCAATAGATTCACCTCTGCAACCAATGGAGACTGAAAGTCCCTAACAGTGTGTGTAGCTTCAGAAGAAGAAACCCTACTGGCTTGTTCCCCTTTCCAACATCCTGGAGCCTGACCCAAGGGCTCATTAACCCACTGTACTTTCCTTCCTGTGTATACACTTCTGCTATTATAGCAACTCTTTCTGCATTTAGAAAAGAGAGGTGAAAAGGAACAGGGTTTGTTTAAAATAGAAGTACTTGCAACACTATTTCAGGAGAATGAAATGTAGGAAGCCAGCACAGTAGTTTTACGCCGTCCCTGCTCTCCTCTTTCCTGTTCCCTAGCCTCCCTTCTGCTTAGTCACTGATTGAGGGACTGATTTTTTTTTTAAATTGTCATCTCTAAGTAAGAAAAATGAGAACTCTGGTGCCCTAGTCCACAAGGAGTTGTACTGTTTACCCCAAGGCCACGCCTCTCTGGTGATTTCAGTCTACTAGCTGCTCTGATCAAGAAAGATGGACCAACGCCTTTCATATGTTTTGAAGCCTGGGAAACCCAACAGAGGGTCAATTATGAGTTGGTTCCAACTCCACAGCAAAGAGGTTTTGAGTATGAAGTTAGAAAAAAAGGGCCAATACAATACTCCTGACCTCCTGGAGAATTGACCATTGGTACTGATCTGAAGCAGACTGGTTTTGTTGAAGTGGGTTTCCCATCAGCTGTGAATTAGGTAGGGAGCCTAATGGTGCAGTGGTCAAAGCCTTCAACTGTGGACTGAAGGACTAGTATTCCAACCCATCAGTTCCTTTGAAGAGAAAGACGATTTACAGACTTGGACTCTATGGAGTAGTTCTCTTCTGCTCTGTAGAGTCACTGTATGTCAAATAGATTTATAGAAATGGGTTTGAGTTTTAGGTATGCTGTTGTTATTATGTGCCATTGAGTCACCTGAGATTTATAGCAACCCTATGCACAACAGCTCTGAAGCCTGCCCTGTCCTGAACCAGTGTCACAGACTCTGACACACCTACCTCCACTGCCCTAATTACTGTATGAATCCATTTAATCTGAGGTCTTTCTCTCCTGCACTGTCCCTCCACCCTTGTGAGCATGATATTCTTCTCTTAGAATCGGTCCCTCCTGCCTCTATGTCCAAAGTTTGTGAGACACAGCTTCAAAATCCTACCCTCCAAGGAGAAACTTGGTTTCACTCTCTTCAAGACAGACCTGTTTGTTGTCTTGGCAGTCATGGTGTGTTCAAGACTCTCCTCCAGAAACACAACGCAAAGGCATCAATTTTTTCTATCATCGTTGGTCATTATCCAGCTCTCTGATGCATAGCAAGTAATTGCAAAGACCTTAGCCTGGATCAGGTACATTTTAGTCTCTAAACTGACATTGTTGCTTCTTAGTATTCTGCAGAGGTCCCTGACAGCATATTTACCGAATGCAATTTTTCTTTTGATTTCCTGACTGTTGGTGCCAAGGAGTGTTGACTGTGGAGCTGAGCAAGCTGCAACTGTTAACAAACTCAATCTCTTCTTCATCCCGCATGCTGCTGCCCAATTGGCCCAGTGGTGAGAATCTTTGTTTTCTTCATGTTGAGCTTCAATCCATATTGAAGACTACAGTCCTTGACCTTCTGCAGAAAGCACTTCAGGTCCTCCTCCGTTTCAGCAAGCAAGGTTATGTCATCTGCATAACGCATGCTGTTGATGAGTCTACCTTAAATTCTGATGCCACTTTCCTCCATATAAATCCCAGACTCCTGAAAGATTTGTTCTGCATATAGATTGAAAAGATATATAGACAGGACACATCCCTGACACACTCCTTTCCTGATTTTGAACTATGCAATGTTTCCCTGCTCTGTTCTGAGGACTGCTTCCTGGTTCAAGTATAGGCTTCACATAAGCACAGTCAAGTGTTCTTGGATTCCATTCTCCTCAAGGTTAGCCAAATTTGTTGTTATCCACACAGTCAAAAACCTTTACATAGTCAGTGAAACACAGATTGATAAACCTCTTGTACTCTTCACTTTCAGCCAAGATCCATCTGACACTGGCAATGTCTTTAGTGTCATGGCCTCTTCTACACCCAGCTTGTATTTCTGTTAGTTCTTTATCAATGTACTGTTCCAGTCATTTCTGGATAATCTTCAGCAGGATTTTGCTTGGATGTGATGTGAGTGATATTGTATGATAATTTCTACATTCTGTCAGGTCACCTTTTTTTTTTTGGAATGGGAATAAATATGGATCTCTTTCAGTAAGTTTGCCAGATATATATTTCTTTAAGTCAATTCTTTCCCTCATCTATTTTAATGCAGTGTTCATTATTTATCCCCTCTTCTTAGTTTCCCCCCAGCCCTCACATCAGACCTGTTTTATAACACTGGCATTATGCAATATTTGTCCTTTTGTGACTGAGATATTTCACTCAACATAATGGCCTCCAGGGTCACCCATTTTGTATAATATTTTATGAGTTCCTTGTTTTTCAGTGCTGCATAGTATTCCATTGTGTGAATATACCACAGTTTCTCTATCCTTTCATTTGTTGATGAGCATGTACTTCAATTTATAAAATAAGATCTTTAATTATTAAATCTATTATTATAATACATAAAGTGCTATAAACCAGTACTTTGTAAATAGTAAGCACTCAGTAAGTATGCACTAGCAATATATAGTTTAAAATCACATTTCTAAAAATGAAATTTTTATTTTAATTGTGATTTTAATGAAAGTTTACAGAAAAGTTAGGTTTTTCACTCATACATTGTTGTACATTTTACCCCCTCCCTTTCTTCACTTCCCCCAGTTTACTTCTTTTTTTTTTAAAGGAGGTATTTCTTTATTGTTATACAATTACCTCCCTCTCTCCTCCTCCCCCCAGACCTCTTTTTCATGTACCTCTTATTCTTGGCTGTTGTCTTATGCATAATGTCTAATCATATATATATATATATTTTAAACAGTTCTTTCCTTCATCTGTTCCAATGCAAAAATCACGTTTTAAGCCTATCAGGTTGATCTTGTAATATGTATAGAAGTTGGAAAAAAATAAAATAATTAACCATGCTATAAAAATTACTCCAAACATTAGCATCTTGAAGTGTTTTCTGTGAGTCAGATCCAGGAGTGGCTGCTTCTGGTGCTTCTGCTCTGGAATCTCTTGAGGATTTTCAGTCAAGATGTTGGTTGGATTTGTCATGCGGGTGCCTCCACAGAGCTGCTTGAGTACTCTGTACTGTGTCTAGCTATCTCCACAGTAAGTGATGTAAGAAATAGCAAGGGAGAAGCCATGATGTCTTTTGTTATCTTTTATTACTAGATTGACTACCTAGTCACACTCCATCTGTTTTGTAATATCATAGTAATTACTCAAGAAGCTCTAGTGATGTAGTTCATAGAAAGTTGTGCTACTAACCCAGAGGTCAGGCTTCTTTGGTAGCTTTAAACCACCAGCCATTGCTTGGCAGTCTCTTCCCATGCCATTTACAACTTTAGCAACTCTGTAGAGTCAGCTGAGTCAGAAACAAATCCACAAGGATAAGAGAGAATTTTACTCAGATCATCCCTGTTTAGTGTAGAAAGGGACTACACAGTATTAAGGAAACCAAGTAAACTAGAAGATGAGACATTATGGAATGCCATCTTGGAGGCTAGTTATCATTTGCATTGAGAATAGACAGCTCTGGTTAATGTTTCAGTATTCTCATACAATGGGTTGCCATTAATATCAATGTTTTGCTCACTCTTTCTAACATATTCTCTAGACTGCAATTGGCCTATTCAACAGCTTGATTCCAATCCATCTTCTGATGATGATTAGCAAGACCTCTCCAGGGTATGTAGAAAACATGGACAGATACCAGAAGGCAGCTAAACTTTTCCAGGGGAAGGTAAGTCTAGAATGGGAGACACTCATTTGACTCATCACCACAAGGTGAACAAGGAAAAGAAAGATCAAGTCAGGGAGATAGAGGTTAATAAGGAAAAAGAAAGTATGATTATGGTATATCAAACTGGGAATTGCAACATAATTATTCATCTTAATCTTGAATATAAGGACATTTTGTACCATGAAAGGCCTATAAAGCTATATCTTCCTCTACTAATTTATTTTTCCCTGTATTAATAAACAGTTCTAAAGATATTGACAATAAAGCCCCAAAGATATTGAAAGGGGGGAAAGCATGTATTGTGATAATAAAATCACAATTTGTTTATTCCTTGTCAAAATCCCTTAGAGTTTTGTATTTCTGAGCTTATTTTTTATATGAAAATACCTAACATGGATCTCATGCCTAGTAGGTGTTCAACAAATACTCATTTCCTCTCTTACTGTACTTCATGTCACTCTGCTCAATTTTACGTAATAAGTAAGTTAAGTAAATTAACTGCTTCAACAGTACTGCATTGACTTGGAAGACTTTTTAATGAAGCAAACTGTCAGTCACTTTGGTCACCTTTCTAGTAATTGGTTCTTTAGTTAGTACAGTCAGCTAACTAAAGTGTGGACTTTAGCATCTACCTAGAGATAACTCAGAAGACAGACCAGTGATCTACCTTCAAAACAGTCAACCCCTGCAAACTAGTTGGACATGTTGTTAGAAGTGACTAGTCCTCATGAAAAGACATCATAGTAAGAAAGGTGGCAGGTCAGTGAAAGAGAAGAAGACCATCAAAAAGCAGATTGACACAGCGACTGTTACAAGAGGTCAAGTCTATCAGAGATGATGAGGATGGCATAGGTTAGGATTCTGATCCAGTGCTTTTAGCATTGCTATGGGTTGTAGCTTACTTGATAGCACTTAAAAACAACTAAGAACCCATAAGTAGAGTAGAAATCAACAAGCGCACTTCTACTCTGACACAGTCACCAGGAGTTAGAATAGAAGCTATAGCAACTCTTTAGTGTTTAATATGCTAGAAAATTAAATGCAGATGCATGTACATGGGCCCTTACAGTTTCTCTGCTACAAGACACCAAAGGGTGTGTGGTGTGGCTGGCCTGGGAGACTATTGGCCCCCCTGCTTCCTTGGCATCTATGCAAGGTTATGGCCCAGCCCAGGAGCACTCATACCCGGGCCAGCAATAGAACCATTGCCTGCCAGGTCAAAAGGTGGCACTTCCAGTGTGGTCTGGACCATGATCCTTCCCAGAGCACTAGACCACTGCCTAGATGCCTGGTGACAGCTGTCCCCCCACCACTCAACTGTCCTGCATCAGGAGCACTGATATCACTAGTAAAGCCATTTTCTTCCCCCTCTGAGAGCCAGTATTTGAGCTGAGAACCCTTTGGGCCAGCCTAGCTATAGCAGTTGCCTGTCTGAGAAGGCTGCTAATTCACAGGCCATCTCTCCCCTTAACTGATGCAAGTTTTCCCTTGAATCAAAGGATCAGAGAGAAATTTCATTATGATGGGCTGCCCTCCCCTACTCTAAAGCAGTGAGCTCTTGAGCCAATGTTATCAGAACAAAGGCCTGTTAAGACTTCAGACATAAAAAACTCTACCACAGCAATGACATGAAAGAAAAAGTCTACCTCACACTTTTCATAAAACCAAAACTAGAGGTCACTCAAAAGAGCAATTATAACATGGAATCAATGGATTTCCTGAAGCTAGAAAAATCTGATGGAACTTTCTGACATAGAATTCAAAAGAACAATGTTTGAATATGTTCAACAGGTGAGAGAATTACTCAAAAAAATCACAGGAATTTGCATGGAAAAGCCATGAGAAACTAAAAAAAAAAAAAATTCAAGGCAATGCAAACAAATTAGGCATTAGAAACTTCAGAAAAACAAGAAACCACAATCTAGAACAAGAACATTGGTCAATGTTTCAGATGTTGTCAACATGTTGGAGGAACATATGAGAAGAACTGAAGAGATGAAACACAGAATTAATGAAATAAAAGATAGAATTCTCAACATTGATCTACTAGAACAAAAAGAAAAATAAAAAAAAGAGGGGAGGGGAAGTAAGCCTAAGAATTATGTGGGATACCATTAAGAAGAATAATATGCACATAATTGGAATCCCAGAACAGCAAGAAGCTATTAAAGGCACTGAGAAAGTTGAGGAAAAATTACTAGAAGAAAACTTTCCAGGCATAGTGAAGAACGGCAGAATATGTGTACAAGAAGCTGAGGGAACACCATATAGAATATACCAGAAAAGAAAAATATCGAAGTATATCACAGTCAAATTTGCTGGAACCAAAGGTAAGGAGAGAATACAGAAAGCAGCTAGGGAGAAATGAAGAGTAACCTAAAAGGGAGAGCAAATATGATAAGTGCCAATTTCACAGCAGAAACCATGTGAGCAAGAAGACAGTGAAATTACATCAAACACTCAAAGAATACAACTATCAACCAAGGATACTGTACTCAGCAAAACTATCCATCAAATATGAAGGAGAGATCAAGATTTTCTCAAAAAGAAAGAGTTAAGGGAATTTGTAAAAACAAGACCAATGTTGCAAGAAATACTGAGGGAAGCCTTTCTTACAGAGATGCCACAGAAAGTAGGCTGAACCAGAGTAACCAGCAACAACACCAAAAAGAACTCCACAAAATGATAGCAAAAAACCTCTTGCCTCTCTATAATTACACTGAATAGGAATGGTTTAAGTGGAAAAGAGAAGTAGCTTGGGTAGAAAAACCAAAACCCATCAATATGTTGTCTACAAGAGACATACCTGAAAAGTGAAGGGAAAGAAAGACTAAAAATAAAAAGGTGGGGAAAGGTAGACCAAACAGATGGCAAGGAGATTGCCCATCCTTCTCCTGCAGAGCAGCTGGGGGTATTGTCTTCAGAACTGCAGCTCACCTTCTTGCCTCTAGGCCACCAGAGCTCCCCTCAAGCAAATGGCAACCAGAAAAATGCAGGAATAGTGATATTAATCTCTGATAAAATATATTTCAGCACAAAAACCATCACAAAGGACAAAGAATGTCACTATATAATAATTAAAGGGTCAATAGAACAAGAGGACACAACCATAATAAATATCTATGCACCAAATGATAGAACTGCAAAATATAAAGAGCGAATGTTAACAGAACTGAAAAAAAGAAATAGACACCACCATAATAGTAGGAGGAGGCTTCAATATACCACTCTCAAGAAAAGATAGAATGAGAAAAAAAAGGTAACCAAGGACAAATATTGTTTGAAAACATTATCGTAGAATGAATATGAAGATCCAAGGGGTGTGGGGAGGGTGGAAGCCGAGAGGTGAGGATGGGCAGGGGGTGGAGAGGGTGTTAATCATAGGGTTACACAATTTGATGGGTGGGGGGCTGAAGATCTTTTGTGAAAAACACTGTACTCAAACTTATAAATAAATCAGTATAAAAATAAAAAAAATAAAATGATAATGAAGAATTAACTCACACAATAAACCAACTCAATCTCATAGATATATAAAAGCTAATGCACCCCAAGAAAGTGCAGTACACCTTCTTCTCCAATGTGTATGGAACATTCTTCAGAAGAGAACACATTTTATGTCACAAAGCAAATATCAATAAATTAAAAAAACATAAAAATAATACAAAGCATCTTCTCAGACCAAAAAGCCACAAAATTAGAAAGTAATAAGAAAAGAATAAAAATGGAAAAAAATTATACATTAGGAAGGTGAATCACACCTTGCTTGAAAATGAATGGGTACTAGAAGAAATAAAAAAATGAAATTAGAATGTTTCTTGAAACAAATGACAATAAAAATACACATTACCAAAACTGGGTAACAGCCAAAGCAGATTAGAGTTCAAGTTATAGCAATAAGCAAACATATCAAAAGAGAAGAAAAAATGATAATTGATCTTTAACTCAATATTTCCAAACAGTTGAAAAATAACAGCAAGAAAACCCAACATCCTCTTAAAAAATTAAATTATAAAATTTGGGGCAGAAAAAAAAATGAAATTAAAAACAAACAGTTGAAACCATCAACAAGATTAAGAGTTGGTTCTTTGAGTAGGTCATTTTAAAAACCACTAGGAAAATTAACAAAGGTAAAGAAAGAAAACATACAAGTAACCCAAGTAAAAGATGACAGGGAAAATGTCACAACAAAACCAACTAAAATAGAAAGGTTAACAATGGAATATTATGGAAAAACTACACTCAAAAAGTATGAAAACCTAGAGGAAATAGACAGATATGTAAAAACTCACAACCTACCTAAACTGGCACAGATTGAAGTAGAACACCTGAACAGACCCAATACAAAAGAAGAAATTGAACAGATAATAAAACAACTTCCAACAAAAAGTCCAGATTCAGATGGTTTTACAAGTGAATTTTATCAAACATTCAGAAAAGAACTGTCACTAATTCTACATAAACTATTTCAGAAAATAGAAAAAGACAGAATTCTCGCAGACTCATTCTATGCAAACATATTCTTGATACCAAAGTCAGGTAAAGCCATCACCAATATAGAAAAATACAGGCAGATATCTCTCATGAACATAGATGCAAAAATTCTCAGTAAAATCATGGCCAATAGAATAAAAAAAAATACATAAAAAAATAATTCACCATGACCAAGTGGGATTAATAACAGGTATGCAAGGATGGTTCAAAGCAAGAAAAGCAATCAGTGTAATTCATCATATTATAATACTTTGCTTTGTCCTCCCAAGATGCCCTTTGACATTAATATCTTTTCAGCTCTTTCACTTTGACATGGTTTCCTTCAGATTTGGCTTATCAATGCTCCAGTGCAATCTTTAGAGTCTCTTCTGATATCCACCTCGTTTTTTTATTTCTCCTCAGTTTCTCTTCTTTGCCTCACACACACTTTGGACATGTAGCAACATGTCCTATTCCTTGGACAGTGCTATTCCTTGGAGAAGGACATGATGTTAGGAAGGGTGGAGGGTTGGCGAAGGTGAGTAAGACCCTCAACTAGGTGGATTGATATAGTCAATGTTGCAATGGGCTCTTTTTTCTTCTTTCTTTCTTGTTTTTTTTTGTTTTTTTTTTTTTTACTTCATTTGGTTGTTTTGGGTTGGGTTTTTCTATTTATTCATTTTTGAACTTTTCTCCCTGCTCACCCCTCCCCCCAATTCATTCTTCTCTTTGAAAAGCAAAAGAAAAATTTTTTTCATTGTTATATAATCCCTCCCCCCAAGTCTACTCCACTATGCTGCCTTCATTCTGGACTACTGTCATAATAATACCTAAGCATATATGCCTTTTAAACAGTTCTCTCCCTCATCTGTTTCAATGTTGTTGTTGTTGTTATGTGTTGTTGAGTCGCTTGCAACTCATACTGACCCTATGTACAACAGCCCTTGACTCTGCTCTGTCCTGTGCCAATTGCACTGTCTCTGACACTCCCATCCCAATTATCCCAGTCACTGAATCAATCCACCTCACAGAGGGCCTTCCTCTCCTGCGCTGTCCCTCCACCCTCCCAAGCATGATGTCCCTCTCTAAGGACCGGTCTCTCCTCACAACATGTCCAAAGTATGTTAGATGGAGCCTCAGAATCCTTGCCTCCAAGGAGCCACCCAGTTTAACCCTTTCCAGGACAAATCTATTTGTTTTCCTAGCAGTCCATGGTATTCTCAATATTCTTCTCCAGCACCACAGCTCAAAGGCATCAATTCTCCTTCTATCCTCCTTGGTCATTATCCAACTCTCTGATGCATAGCAAGTGATTACGAAGACCATGGCCTGTATCAGATGCACCTTAGTCTCCAGAGAGACACCATTGCTCTTCAGTACTCTGGAGAGGTCCCTAACAGCAGACTTTCCCATGGCAATGTGCCTTTTAATTTCCTGGCTGCTGGTGCCAAGACTATTGACTATGGAGCCAAGCAAACTGAAGCTGTGTACAATCTCAATCTCTTCACCATGCATCCTGATGCTGCCAATTGGTCCAGTGGTGAGAATCTTTGTCTTCTTGACATTGAGCCTCAATTCATATTGTAGGCTACAGTCCTTGACACTCTGCAGCAGGCGCTTCAGGTCCTCTTCAGTTTCAGCAAGCAGGGTTGTGTCATAATTTATGCCATCTTTCTCAGTCTCCCTCAACCCCAATGTCAGTTCTGCTTTACAACAGTGGCACTATGCAGTATTTGCCTTTTTGTGACTAAGATATTTCACTCACCATAGTGTCCTCCAGGGTCACCCATTTTGTATATTTCATTAGTTCCTTGTTTGTTTTTTTAGTTCCTTGTTTTTCAGTGCAGTATAGTATTCCTTTGTGTGAATATCCCAGAGCTTCTCTATCCATTTGTTTGTTGATGAACATTTGTTTCCACCTCTTTGCTATTGTGAACAAAGCCACAATGGACATTGTGTTAGGAAGTGAGAGAATGGTACAGGATAAACAGGATTCAGATGTTTAGTTCATAGGGTCACTACGAGTCATACAGACAGATAGATCAATGGAATAGAATTGAGAACTCAGAAATAATAGCTCATCTACCTACGATCAGCTGATTTTTGACAAGGAGACAAAATCAGTTAAGTGGGGAAATGAAAACCTCTTTAACAAATGGTGTTGGTAAAATTGGAAAACTATCCGTAGAAAACTTAAGCAAGACCCACACTTCACACCATACACAAAAACCAACTCAAAGTGGATCAAGGACTTAGGAGTAAAACCAAAGAATATAAACTTCATCAGAGAAAAGCTTGGAAGAACTCTAGAAGCCCTAATCCACAACATGAACAGTCTTTCAAGCATCTTGAAAAATCTACAACCAAGAGAGAATAAAATAGATAAACGGGACCTTCTAAGAATCAAATCCCTATGCACATCAAAAACTTCTCCAAGAGAATAAAAAGGAAATCCACAGACTGGGAAAAAATATTTGGTAATGACATATCTGATAAGGGACTCATGTCTAAAATTTATAGGATACTCTATCACCTCAACAAGATAAAGGTAAATAGGCCAGTCACAAAATCAGCACAGGATATGAACAGACATTACACCAAAGAAGACATTTAGAGGGCAAAGAAATGCATGAAAAAATGTTCAAAATCCTTAGCTCTAAGAGAGATGCAAATAAAAACAGCTATGAGATATCATCGCACTCCAGTAACAACAGCAAATCTCAACAAAGCAGCAAAAAACAAATACTAACAAGATCGTGGAGAAAGGGGAACCCTTATACACTGCTAGCAAGAGTGTCAAATGGTACAACCACTGTGAAAGGTAGTATGGCGCTTTCTCAGAAAGTTAGAAACAGAAATAACATTTGATCCAGTAATTCCACTATGAAGAATATGTTGTTGTTGTTGTTATGTGCCATCAAATCACCTGTGACTCATAGTGACCCTATGTACAACAGCCCTATATCCTGCTCTATCCAGTGCCAATCTGTCTCTGACACACCTACCCCCATTACCCTAGTCACTGAATCAATCCATCTGATCAAGGATTTTCCTCTCCTGCACTTTCCCTCCACCTTCCCAAGCATGACATCCCTCTCCAAGGACTGGTCCGTCCTTGCAACATGTCCTAAATATGTCAGATGAAGCTTCAGAATCCTTGCCTCCAAGGAGCAGCCTGGTTTTATCCTCTCCATGATGAACCTGTTCATTCTCTTAGCAGTCCATGGTTTATTCAATATGCTTCTCCAACCCAACAGCTCAAAGGCATCAATTTTCCTTCTATCATCCCTAGTCATTGCCCAGCTCTCTGATGCATCACAAGTGATTGCAAAGACTATGGCCTGTATCAAGCACACATTAGTCTCCAGAGTGACACCATTGCTCTGCAGTACTTTGGAGAGGTCTCTAACAGCAGACTTCCCAATGCAGTAAGTTTTTTTCATTTCCTGGCTGCTGGTGCCAATACTATACCCTAAAGAATCCAGAGCTGCCAGCCAAACAGATAAGTGCACACCCACATTTATTGCTGCATTATTCACAACAGCAAAGAGATTCAAGCAACCCAAATGCCCATCAACAAATGAATGGACAGAAAAAACTATGGTTTTTCTATTATGGAATACTACACAGCACTGAAAAACAAAGAACTCATAAAATATTATACAGCATGGCTAACCCTGGAGGACATTTTGCTGAGTGAAATATGTCAGTCACAAAAGGACAAATACTGTATAATACTACTGATATAAAACAGGATTGACATGGAAGTTGAAGAGAAACTAAGAAAAGAGGAAATACATAATGAACATTACATTGGAGCAGATGAAGGAAAGAACTGTTTAAATATATGATTATACATTATTTGTATGACAAAAGCCCAGAACTAAGAGGTGCATAGCCAAGTGGACTGGGGGAAGATTGGGGAAGAGAGAGAAAACTATGCAATGAAGGAATATTTTAAAAAATAAGTAAATGAGGAGTTGGTTAGGGAAGAAAATGTGCAACAATGAATTAATGAAAACTCCAACTTTTCTGTAAACTTTCATTAAAATCACAATTAAAAAGTTAAAAAGCATATATAGAAAAATCTAAATAAATGCATCATTTCATTTAATCTCCTCAACAAAGTACTAATTATAAAATTGAGTCCCAAGGAGGCTCAGTAGCACACCTAAAGTCATCCAGCTAGAAAATGCTCAGGGCAGGCTTTCAAACTAATTATCTGCTTTCCATCTTTGGGCTAGACCTCTTCCTTTATATAGTCACTGAAGTCTTCCAATTCTATGTTGTGAAGATTAAATTAATTTGATCAATGAGAATAAAAGCCAAAGCAACATAATATATGGAAAATTAACTTTAATTCAGCTGAGGTTAAACTTGTGTGTCACAGCCCATAGATTCATTATATATAATTTACAATGATTGCAAGGTATCTTTCATTTTCTCTTCAGGTTTTCAAATAGGTTGTTCTCTTTCAACTTTCTCCAACTGCAGATTCTTTTTATCCTGGTGGACAGTGATATAAAGGAGAATGGGAAGGTGATATCATATTTCAAACTTAGGAAGTCTAAACTGCCTGCCCTGGCAATTTACCAGATCTCAGATGAGGACTGGGATACATTGCCCCTGGCAGAGGTTTCAGAAGAAAAAGTGCAAAGCTTTTGTGATGGATTTCTAAACGGGAAGCGATTGGTAAGTGTAAAACTACACAGTAAAGCAAACTAGCATTACCCTTTCTATGCTATTTTAAGAGTTTTGGGGTGGCACAGAGTGTAATGTGTTGTACTGCTGACCAAAATTTTAGTGGTTCCAATCCAACAGCTGCTCATGAGAGAAAGATAGTCTCCTCTAAAGATAATTTATAGTATCTCAGAAACCCATTATGAGTCTGTCTCAACTTGATGGCAGTAGGGTTTGGGTTTGGTGTTGTTTTTTTCTACAGGGGGTGGGGGAGATTGTTGGTATAAAAGGAACCCTGGTGGTGTAGTGGTTAAAGTGTTCTGATATCACAAAGGTCAGCAGTTCAAACACACCACTCTATGGGAGAAAGATAAAACAGTCTGTCCCTATAACAATTACAGTTTAGGAAGCCAAAAGGCTGCACTTCTACCCAACCCTACCCAAAAGGTTGGGTGTGAATGAGAATCAACTCAGTTCTCCGTTATCAAATGAAAGATGAGTCGTTTGAATCCACACAGACACCTCAGAAGAAAGATCTGGCAATCTATTCTACTCTGAACTCACGGGACCACCATGAGTTAAAATCTCAATGGCAACTTTATTTGGGTTTGTTGGGTTTTGTTTCTCCCTTTCTTTGTTTTTTTTTTTTTATTATGCAGTTCCCCCTCCACATTCCTTCATTGACATTATGTTTTACACAAACATTCCCATACATTGTGTTTTATAAAATTAATCACCATTGGATTATTCCCATCATTATCTTATCCTTCTGGTACTCATCAAATCTTTACGATTTCTTTCACCCTCTCCCTCCACCCACCAGATTGTGCAACCTTGTGATTTCGCCCCTACCCATCTTGACCCCCTGCTCTCACCCCTTCCGCCTTTGGATCCCCATGCACATTTTTTTAGTTATCCTTCTATTTTTATAATAATGGCCTTATGCAGTATTTGTCCTTATGAGACTGAATTAGTTCACTCAGCATAATGCTCTCCAGTCTCAATTTGGGTGTTTTCATTTCTACTGTTACTGTTTTCTATCTCTTTTATTTTCTACAAGGGACCCTGGTGGGGCAGTGAATGAAATGCTAGATTGCTAGCCTAAAATTCAGCAGTTTGAACTCTCCCACTGCTCAGTGGAAAAAGAAGAGGCAGTCTGATTCCAGAAAGATTAGAAATTCACAAACGTTACGGGACAGGGTTCTACTCTGACTTGCAGCATCAATATGAGTTAGAATTGACTCAAAGGACAGTGACTTTTTATTTTATTTCCTAGGCATTACTTGGATGCCAGCTAATTTAATTAAAAGCAAAAATAAGTGGGATATGGCAGTCAGAGGCAAGATGCTTGTTAGCATATGTTGTTTTATGTACCGTTGAATCAGAACTAACTCATAGCTGGCCCACCAGAGAGTTTTCAGAGACTATATAGCATGAGAGAGATTGCATACCTTTTTCATGAGGTGGATGTCATCTGCCCCCCTTTGGGTTAACAGCATAACTCTTACCACTAGACCATAAGAACGCTCTCTGTTAGGATCTAGTCATGAACTAGAGAAATGGTTTTAGAACAGTCCTGCATGTGCAAAAGAGCTGAATTTTCTTTCCACCATTCTATTTAAGGTGTCAGTAGGAAATTAGTTTCATGTGAAAGGGTTCATGAGCTAAAACTGAAGATACAGTAGAGGTCTCAGTCAAACAGTTGGGTTTGATAATCTCAGTTCAGTATTACGGGTGAGCTCCAAATCTAACTATCACCATCATGATATTTTTCAGAGAGAAAAGAATGAATCAGAAGAAAAGGCTCAAAAGGTGGAACTCTGATACTTCTGCATACTTTCAAATACCTACTTTGTGCTGAATAAAAACAGGCAAATTAAACCTCAGAGATGTTAAACAACAGGATCAGAAGGCCTTCTAACCACACATACATACACACAGACTGCTCCATTTCAGTCCTTAACTTCATATGCTCTCTCTTTAAAAAAAAATCCTTTATTGAACTGCTATCATAAAGTTGGCAATTGGAATCCACCAGACCTTCTGCTCCAAATACGAGGTGATCTGCTTCCATGAATGTCTACAGACTTGGAAATCCTAAGGAGCAGTTCTGCTGTATCCAACAGGGCTGCTGGGAGTTGGAATCAACTCAGTAACAGTGGGTAATGCTATATATACACTTTGTTTCATTCATATCAATATCACTGAACAGAAGCTTTAAGATACTGTGATACTTCTAACCAGAAGGTATAATTCTAGAGACAGATTATGCCGATTGTCATTTAACACTGAATTTATACACAATATGCACATATCATTTCTGCTTGCTGAGAGTAACGTAAAGGTTGAAACTCTGGCTTCCTCATAAGCACACATCCCCTCTGTGACTTCTGTCCAAGAACAAAAGAATGGGGGCGGGGGGGTTTGGCTTTAACAAACAAATTTATTTTCTCACTGTTTAGGAGGCTAGAAGTTTGAGCACTCTTTCTAAGGGAAGCTTTCTTTTCTTTATTTTATTTTATTAATTTTAATGAACATTTACAGAGATTTTGGGTTTTCATTCATTCATTGTTGCACTTCAACAGCATTTGGGGACTAAGTCTTTTTTGCCAGAAGTTAAATGAGGTTTCCAAGTCTCTGAACTCAAAAAAACAGACCATGCACAAACTTCATGCTTATTTAGCATTCCCAGCTCCACATGTAAATCAACAACCCCCATAATAAATAAAGGGCAATAATGTTATAGGAAAAGACCGACATCTCTTTGCAGGCCAAACCCTTTGTAAATACCCAATTGCCCAGCTAAGCAGAGTCTGTACCTCATCCCCCAATACTGCTGTAGTATCAGGCCACATGCCACTAATCTGTTATTGTTCACGCTGTGGGTGGGATGGGAGGTGGGTAGAAACCATCTTACATGAGACTGGCTTAAATGTGGCAAAGCAGCTAGGAATCAATTTAGGCAAAAGGTTGGAGAGTGGGAAGGAGGAAGGGAGCTGTGGTGGGCTGGGGTTGACTAAGCCATGGATTATTGCAGGTGAGGTGTGCAATCCAGCCCATGAGGGACAGAGGGAGTATTTGGCAGAGTGTCTCTGGCCCACAGGCTGTTACTGTCAACACACAGATGCTGCATTGTTCCCAGGAGGCCGTTGGCTCTGAAAGGAAAGTGCCTAAGTGCTGAAGAGCTGAAAAACCACAGACGTACACCTGAGAACTGGTCCAAGAGAAGAACGGAGTGAAAGGCATGGTTGTTCCCTACTGTGGGGAAAACTCCACAGGCTCCAAGCTGGGAGTCAGCTGCTGGCAAGGACACCGTGAAAGCAGCAGTGTGCAGTACACTTCTCAGAAACATGAGGCTGAACTTCTGAAGGGTCACCCAGTCCATCTGCTACGCTGGATTAAACCAAACAGCCTTGGGCCTAAGGCTAAAAAATTTTGCTGGGGCAGGGACATCCCAGGAGCCTGAATTTGGCCATGGAAGCCCGAATTCTTCATATTCTGAGCCAGGAAACTCTTCCTGATAACTACTCTGATTGTCCAGCCATACACATTTATTTCTTCTCATCTGCTATCTACAATCCACTGCTGTCTATCGGAATATCATATTGCCGTGGCTGTATGTTTCATAATACTCAAAGGCATGCCAGCATTATTTAAAATATCATCAGGGTCAACCATGATGAATGAGTTCCAGCAAAGCTTCCAGAGTAAGATTAAGGAGGACCTGGTAATCTATTTACAAAAATCAGCCGACACAAAACAATGTCCAAACCCTAATCACCATGAAGATGGCACAGATGAAGCAATATTTCATCCTGTTACATGCTGAGCTGGAGCTAATTCAATGCCAATTAACACACTCCCTAGAGTTTCTTAACAGCTGCCAATCACCTGGTGCCTAACGACACTTTCAATTCCTTGTTGGTTGCTCTTAAATTTCCTTTTCTTCACACTCACAATCCAACTTCCTTATCAACTCTTTATTTCCCAGTTCTTTGATTTGCTTCGCCCCCTCTGCCCCCGACTCTCTTCCTTCTTCTCAACTTTTTTGTTATGTTTTGAAATATTAGGACCACCCTGTGAACTTATCAAGGGATTTGGTAGGTGCCAAAGAAGATCTTTCCACACACTATATTTTGTTTGGGGAGGTACAAACAGTTAAAGGGCTCAGCAACTAAATTGAAGGCTTGTAGTTCAATTCCACACAGAGATTCTTCTGAACAAAGCCTAGCGAATTCCTCCTCCACAAGTGGTCACTGAAACTCGATGGATCGTGGCTCTATTTGACACACATGAGGTTGCTGTGAGTCAAAATGGAATCTACGGCAACTGGCTTGGTGTGATTTTTTTTTTAAAGCATATTTTTCCCAATATTGAATTCCCTTTTCAGTTATTTGATATGAAGTATTTCCATCAATGTCTATCTGATCTATGATCACATAAATCTTCATATCTTCACAGTTTATTTTTTTACTTACATAAATTCAGTAGCATTCTTTTATGTATTATGTTCTATGGATTTACTTAATTGTTTTAGGTGTTGAACTGAGTTATTCTTACTCTGTTTCTCCTGAAACCTTTAGATATTTTTGCCTGTCTTCTTCATACTGAATCTGGTTTTTGTAATTTTAAGGAAACATCACCAAAGACAGAGCTTTTTCAGAAAGAAGAAATTTCTAGAGTCTCATGCGTTCACTAAAAATCTGACCTAATATAACAAACTTCTGTCATTTCTAACCTTTCTCTGTCTTCAGGTAATCAATTCCAAAGACTCTAAATTTTTCCCCCCGGGGCAATGTTATTGCTGTACTACCCAGATGCATTCCAGCTGTTTTCATTGTTAAATCACTCATTGGCCCTCACTGGTGACACTGTCATACTTTTTCTTTAAGATACTAAGTGGTGATGTGGTGTGGTAGAATCTTAGGAGGATTATGATAAAAGGAAGACATTGGAATAATGACTCAAAGAATGGTATGAAAGTGGGTGTTTGAGTTTCAGCACTTTGTGGC